TTCGAATGTGATTTTTCGAGGTGCGACATTAGTGTGCCTGAATATAATAATTATGCATTGGTGTCTTGCATATCATGGTGTTTGGTGGGATGAATCATGTCTCAATAGGAGCGTAAGTGATTCATTCGTACTCCTTTGAGGAGAATGGTGGGGGATAGATCATATCTCAGTAGGAGCGTAAGTGATCTGTCGGGGATATATCATATCTCAGTAGGAGCGTAAGTGATCTGTCCAGGTTCGATTGAATGAATCAATGAGTCGGTACCACATGCATGGTGTTGTGTTGCATAATTGCATTATAATATGTTATATTGTAATCTGAACAGTAGGTTCGTTATATGGTGTTGTGGGGGGTAAATATTGGTGTGTTGGTGTGGTTTACTACCTTATTTACATGTATTACATTACCATTATATTTTTGATCATGATTTCTCACCCCTTTGTTGTTGTTGTGGTCTGTGCTTCCTCGGAAGTACAGATAATCCAGGTACATAGATAGCTTGGATAGCGGTGTGCAAGTCGAGTCTTAGGATGCTCTGATACGTAACACGGGATATGGGTGTTTTATTTGTTTATGTTAAACTTGTTGAAAATCCTGTGACGTATCACATTTTGGTGAATTATAATAATAAAGATTTTATGTAAATCTGGCGGATGGCCGAGAATGAATGAATAATAATTTCCGCTGTATTATTTTGAAAATAATGAATAAAGTATTTTTGATAACTATTGGTGATGTGATATCCCACTGTTTTTGTGAAAACTCTGATGTTTATTTATAATGTTTATAATTTATTTAATTTGGGAAATGGAGTGTTACATTCTTCAAGGCTAAAATCATTGGATTAGCCAAAATGCTTGGACCATACAATGTTGCGATTGAAGAAAGATGTGAAAGAGTTGATAAGGTGCAGGATTTTTTATGCTTGTTGGACGGGTGTCCTTGTTGGTGTATCAGAATCTGTTCTCTCAGTTTATGTGTTTTATTAACCATCTTGTTTGTGTGTCTTGTCTGTCTTTTGTTTAATCATGTCCTTGTAACTCGGTTGAACTTCGTTAATCTTAAATGAACATCTTTTCGGGTGGATATGATTGATGTGGCTTATGATACAATAAGTCTCAGAATCTTTAGACCCACATATTATCTTTTTGTTGTATCTGATTGCATGTTATTGCATATTTTCTTTTTTATTGTTGACAAAAAGGGGGAGAAAGTATTGATTTTGATATACCTAATTTCTCTTGAATCAAACCCAAACATTTCAAATATTTGCACTAACCCTTGTTTAAAAGGATATTATGTTAGTTGTTTTCTTTCAAGAGAAACTTACTAATATCATAAACACTTAAATAATCAGAATAGAATGTATGAAGCCCAAACTCTGTAGATATGCTAACTTCTTAAATTTCTGAATCATCTTGAGTGAGAAAAGACTTCAAAGATTATTCAAGTTTATCCAACTGATCAGAAGTAAAACTCATCAGAAGTTGATATGCGTTGTTGTGTGTTAAATCCTTGTTAAAATGCATAACAACAGTAAGGACAAGTTCAAGAAACTTCTGAAAGATAAACCAGTTCTTTTAAACAGAAGGTTCATCTACTCTGACTAAAAGGTTAATTGGAGAAATGTTCTTTCATTCTGATTATCTTTGTAGAGTTGCTCATCTCAGGGGGAGCTTTGTACTTCTTTCTGATATATATTTTGGTGATTATTCAACAAAAATTGTTCATCAACATACAGTATTTTATTATCATAAAAAAGGGGGAGATTGTTAGAACAAGATTTGGTTTTGCATCTGTATCTCTAAGTTTTGATGATAACAATCCAGTATTTATGTAAGAATAATTTTGGTACCCTAACGGTTTATTATTGTGTATCTTTAGCAAACAACTTTGATTCCGACTCTTGAACGTGAAACGTTACAAATTTCTGAATATATTGATCTAAATCGCTTCTGCTCAAACTCACTGATGTGAAGCTTCTAAGAAAATTGTGTGTTGATGTTGCAACGTTCTCTCGACTCTTACTTCTGACGTGCGACTCTAATCAATTCAATTCTGAAGAGTGCTCGGACTTTCGAAGATTAAATGCTAAAGGTTCTTACAACTCTGAAGAATTTCAAGTCATATATTGATGTGATCAAATTTCTGATTGATGATTGAAGTTTCTGAACTCAAGCAAAATCAACTCTTCTAACTCATGCTTCAAACAACGATTTATCCGGAAGCCACTGAAGAATAGAAGATACGAACGAGTTTATACGTGGGAAAAATAGTACATGGTAAAAACCAATATTCCTTCCACTAAGAGGATCTTGTGGAGTAAGGAAATTGAGGTAGTACGATTCTTGTCCCCTCCGTATCAAACTGTTACTCAAATCGCCAACTCATTCATGAAGAATACCAGATCTACACTTCAACCGATCTTTTTTACTGGCTATATAAAGACTTGAAGATTTGAAGAATTACGACAAGCAAGTAAGCAAGCAAGCAAGTGAAATAACGAAGAAATTTTTACAAGATTGTTGTCTAAATTTGTGCAGAATTTTCTTTAAGTGTATTGTGCTTTTAAATTGTTTATATCTACTTGTGTAGAAACAATCTTTATAAACACAACTTTGTAATTAAAATGTTGTTTGTATTTCCTTAAGGGATCAGTTAGGTCATAATCCTTAAGAAAACATAGATTGTGTGTTTTTGTGGTTTGTTAGTCACCAGCGGTTGCTTGTGCAGTTGTAATCAAACTGTTGTTTGTATTTTCTTAAGGGACCAGTTATGTCAGAATCTTTGAGAAGACATAGATTGTGTGTCTTTGTGGTTTGTTAGTCATCAGCGGTTGCTAGTGCAGTTGTAATCAGTTGATTATAGTGGATTAAGTCATTGGTTATACGGCGAAATCACCTTGCTAGGTGGACTGAATTAACTTTAAAATTTTCAAGTGAACCAATATAAAAATTAAAATGTATTTATCTTTGTTGTTCATTAGCGGTGATTTTTATTAAGTGAGTAAAAAACTTTTGTTTTTAAAAACTCTAATTCAAACTTCCTATTTCTTGTGTTTTCTCACCTTCACTTATTCCTAAAGCCGATGGCCTTTTTATTAGGGAAAAGAGAGTAAGATCTCAATTATGATTATTAATGAGGATTGGTAATTTTAAATCTATAGTTTTTTTTTCCAGTTAGGGCCGTTAATAACCGTAGAAAAAGAAGTAGGTTCAGTGATGGAGGATAAATTTTAAGAGAAATATTTGTGATTGTTAGATAAGTTAACATAAGATAAATAATCAAGTAAAGGATACAAAGATCTACTTGTAAAAGCCGTAGGAGAATTGTGAATGAGAGAGCAATGAAAGTCTTGGAGATAGGATGGTGGTTTAGAAATACAGATAGATTTTCTAGTGGGTTGGGTGGTGGGTATGGCAGTGGGATTGGGGGGAGTTAAGGTGTTAGTAGGGGCAAGTATCAGGAATGAAAGCTCGTAGAGACCGAGTCAGAAGGAGTCTCTGAATTGTGATCCACATTAATTTTTTTCGCTCTGGTCTTTCAGTAGCTGAGCCATATTCATCTTTTTGAGGTACGAAAGCAACTCATGCTTCTTGAAGCACACCTGTGACCAGTTTTGTTATAGTAGGAACAAATCTTAATTCCTCTACCTCTTCCTTATGTGTTGGGTTTGAATGAGTAACCTTATTGAGTTGAGCAATGAGTTTGTCAGGGTCAGTAGAGGCTTGTTGAGTAAAGGAGGGAGGAAAGGGCGGTGGTTCTTGGAGTTTCTTGGTAAGATGAGGAGGCGGTTTAAGGGTTGTGAGGGAGAAAGAATGAAAAGATAAGGAAAGGAAAGGGAGAGAGAAAGAAAATTGTGAAATGAATGGATACCTTGATTATTAACTATTTCTTTCTTGATGAAAACACACCATTTTTATATCAAGGATTAATAAATTCCTCTTCTGATAACACTAAATTTTCCACAACACTAATTTTTTTGAGAGATTCAACATAAGGCCTAATATGGAATCTAAAATGGAAACAAAAAAAATCTAGATTTTCAATTTTCATGGTCATACAATCATTACAGCACAATATTAAAACCTAGCAGTACTAGGACCCCAACAATTCAAATCCATAACTTTCTTCATAGATTCTTCTTTAGTTCTTTTCTTATGCCTTAACAAAGGGTCGCCGATTGATATGACACCTACATGCAATCAAAAACTATAACTGGAATAGTTTGAAAAATATTTTAAAATATAAAATATTTTGAATTATTTTTTTTAAAAGTGAGTTATTTATGTATAATATTCCACATTTGATCCCTTAGTTAATTTCTAATAAAAAAGTGTTGATATGTATTTTTTTTTTAAAATAGGAGCACTCTTTAAATGAAATGACGTGGACTTGCTAGTTTTAAGATCCTATTTTATATGGTATTTTTTATTTTTAAAATTGTTAACGAAAACAATTTTCTTATAAAAAAAATTATTTATAGAATTAAAAATTGAATTAAATTATAAAACAAGTAATCTTTAAAAATAAAAACTGAATTAAATTGTAAAAGGAATTTATTTATAAAACTAGAATAATATTATATCTTAGATCATCATCATGACCTGGGCAGCCACAAAACCATAGAAATTGGAATATATCCAAAACAATTAATAGCAAACAAGCAAAAAAAAAAAAAAAATCTCATATATTTCCTTTAATAATTGTTTCAATATCGAATATTACAGATTTCAAGTAAACAATAAATCTTTAGTTTATATCCACAAATTTCAACCCTGATTTAGATCTGGGTCACAGACTCACAGGATATATATTTTTCTTCTTTTTCTTTCCGCAAGGAACAACGATCATCATTCATTTAGATCTCACTCTTCTACTTGTTTTATAACAATACAATAACTAATAGACATATGAAGAGGAAACAAACAAAATCTCAATTTTCCTTTTTCTTGGTCACAAAACCATTTCATAAACAAAATTCTGGATGAATAAGTTATCAAAACCTTGCAGTGCTAGGACCCCAGCAATTCAAATCCATAACTTTCTTCATTGATTCTTCCTTAGTTCTTTTCACCTTGTTGGAAACAGCAGCAGAAGAAGAAGATGACAATTTCTTAGTCTGAGTATATGATCTGATATTACTCTTAGCATGTTGGTGAAGTGATCTGAAAGCATAGTTCCACCTGCATACACCAAGTTGGTCTTTTAACGCCTCCACAGCTCCTATGCTTGATGCTACTACCCAAGCTTTTGTTGCAGCTGCACTCATTTTTGTCTTGTAACTTTGTTGAAATTTGAACTTTTTTTAATGTGTGATGATGTGTTGGTGTTTATGGATTCATATATATATATATATATATATATATATGAGGGTTAGTTGAGTGATTTTGAGTTGTGGGAATTAATTAATCACAAACTAAACCAGTGGTTTGTTTGTTCGGTTGGAAGTGAATACAAGCAGACCAAAACTAGGGGCAGTTTAATTTCCTCAAAATCTACGCGGTGATATGTGTCTGGTTTCCTAACTTTATTCGTTGTATTGTCTATTTCATAATTTAATTGTATGTAATTTAGGTGAAAATATAGGAGAGAAAAGTTTGATTTTTCCTAAAAAGTTTGATAATGTGCTGTCAAAATACTGCCAAGTGAGAAAAATATTTTTGACAGAAAATAGAGGAGAGAATATTCCATGTCTTTTCCTTTGGCAGTGTCAATTGTTTTGAAAGGAAACAAACTAGTATTTAAATAAGAATTAAAACTAACGTTTTTTTTTAATTTAAAAGGGGATTCGAGAGAAATGACCAATAAAAGAAAAGTAATTTATTTTTTTGTTGTTATTTTTAGTTTTAAGAACAAAATGGAAAAGTAATTTATTTTTTGTTTTAAAACAAAATGGAAAAAGAAAGGAATTTTTTTTAATTGAACCAAAGTTAGCGAAAATAGAAAATGGAATTTTCGGTTAAGGAATCAGAAATATTTGGTGAAATAATGGAGTAGAGTCTCCATGCAGTGGAGTGGATTATCAATACAACGAGGTGGAGGTGGTCTTATAAGATAGACACTCCAATATCCAAGTTAGTAAGAAAATGAAGAATAAGTGAATTATGAATAAGAAAATGAAGTTGTTGTATATCCGTATATTGCAGGATATTCTCATCGGCTTCTCATTCAATTGATTTTGATATATAACATTAACAAAGGTTAGATAAAAAATCTAATTTATCATGTATAAAAACAAGAGATTATGTAAAGAATACAAATCTTCAACAAATACTATTTTATGTTCGTGCAATCCATCATACAGACTATTTCCACTTTCCTTTAAGTTTCACTTTTTTACTATCTTATTGTTTGTGATTCAGATATACAGTGTGACGTTAGCGTTCTAAATGGTTGTCGTGACTGTTTCTCACTAATTATTAATGTTTTTTTTTTATGGATTTATGTATTGGCAAAGCCTTGAGTGTTAATACTCAATAAATGGACGACACATATTTGTTTATGGACGATAGAAAATAAATAAACTCGCTTATTTTACCCTTTGATTTTGACAAAACACCGAGGTAAAGGTTTTCTCTTTTTTAAATAAAAAATAAAATAAAATAGAGACTTTTCTTCTCGGTATTTTAATCCACCGAGGTAATAGATTATTTCTATTAAAAAAAATGGTGAATGAAAAAAAATAGAAAAAAAAATATTGTTTTCTTTTTCAATTTTGTATCATTTCTCAATTTTTGTCAGTATTGTAATAATCAAACAAATGACTATTTTAAACAAAAAAATTTTAAGATATTATTTTGTGAAACAACAAAATTGCAGTATGATTACAAATTAATTTTTCAATATTGTCAACTGAAAAAAATAATTTATTATAGAAAAATTTCTTTGACGGACAACATTAAAAAGTTATTCTAAAATATAACAATGTTTTCTTTTACCATTTAACATTGACAATAGATAAAAATAATAAAAACAACAAAAACAAAAACAACACGACAACAACACTATTATATAAGATAAATTATAAGAAAAAAACATGTTAGTTTCCCAAATTGATCTTTCAAGGCCTCCACAGTTCCAATGCTTGATGCCACTATCCAACCTTTAGTTGCTACACTCATGTTGGTTTGAATGTGAAAATAAATATCAATATAGGATCATTTAGAGGTTATTAATTTGATGAGGAGAATGATTTATGAATAGGGTATGGGTTTTATTGGTACTTATACATGTGGGTTACATGAGAAAGGGATTACGAAACCACGAGTTTTCTTTCTTTAGGTGAAAAAGGGTGAGAAAAGCAAAACTTGGTGCAGTTGAAAACTTTGGACCAAATGTTTGGAATGATAGACCAACATGAGTCTCGAGTCTCGCAATTATTGGCTGACTCACATATTAGATAACTTATTTTAGGATATTTGTGGTGCTATTCAAAATTTTGCAAGAAGAATATCAATTAAGAAATTTATAGTATAAAACTGATAAATTACATTGTTTGATATTATATTTCACTCGTAATAATTTTTCGAATGAATAGATTTTTCTCTAAATCAACTAATTTTTGTAGAAAAATATTTTTGAAGATAATAAAATATATTCGAAAAATTTAACGAGTAGACAAATGAAAAAGGACTCTGAAAAATTAAAAAGAATAAAAAATAGTGAAATTTCTCATTTTAGTGTGAGTATAAAAATAAATGAAGCACTCTATTTATACTAAAAAGTTCAACACACAAAATTCAATAGATGATCCTGATCATGTAAGAAAAAATTGAGAGTTAAACAAGGATTAAAGGCTATGCCAAACTGAGTGTACACCACGCAAAATAAATGTACTAAACAATCAGAACCTTGTGCAAAAAAGTAAAGTTTCTGGTACCAAAGAATCAATGGCGCTTTAATGCTCTCTACTAGGTCAACTAGTAAACTTCCATAGCAGTTTTACGACATAGGCAATGGTGTTTCAATGCTTCTCTACTAAGTCTACTAGTAAACTTGTAAAGCAGTCTTATGACGTATGCAATGTCGGATCTAGTATGAATTGACATATATGATGTTGTTAATGATGCTCACATGATTAAAGTCCCACATATTATCACCAATATTATAAAAGAGTTTGAAACTTAGATCATATGTGGTGCAAACACGTTTACAGTAAAAGTACTTTTGTTGAAGATATTTGTGATTGTGGTATTTTGTATTGAACTCTAGTGTCGACAAGGGTAGTTTCATGGTTCGACGGGAGTTGTGCATGTTGAAATCAAAGTTTGTTCAAGCATACTGTCAAAATATGTTAGCTTTGTATTTAAGTTAGCATGTCGAATTGGGCCTTGTTTGTAAATCCAATTATTAAGTTAGCTTGTAGCTTAAGTTAGCTTAGCAATCTATAAATAACTAAATCTCTCAGGTTGTTAAGAGAGGTTAATTGTTGGTATTCACTTGTAATATTTGAACCCTTATTGAGTAAGTGAATAAAAAAATAGTTTTAACCAATTCTTATTCTTTTTCTTCATTTTTCTCTATCTTTTGTAAAACCTAATAGGATTTCTTGTGTTTGTTCAATAAACTCAATCTTTTTCTCATATTTTGATTTGTTTTTGACGACATCAATTCACAACAAACTGGTGCAGTGAACGTGGAGGAGAAGATGTCATCAACAAAGTATGAGTATGAGATTGAGAAATTCACCGGTGTGAATGATTTTGGTTTGTGATGCTTGAAGATGCAAGTCCTTCTTGTTTAACAGTGTTCGTTAGAAGCGTTAAAAGGATCAGAGAAGATGGGTGTTGCCTTATCGGAGAAGGAGAATACAACAATGGTCGAAAAAGCCCACAATGCCATTGTATTGAGCCTTTGTGATAAGGTTCTCCGACAGATTTTAAAGGAGAAAACTGCAACTGGTATATGGACAAAACTTGAAGGTTTGTACATGACGAAATCGTTGGTTAATCATCTCTACCTGAAGCAAGCTTTGTATTCATTCAAGATGAGTGAAGCAAAGCCTTGGATGAGAAGCTGGATATGTTCAACAAGTTAATTATTAATCTTGAAAATATTGAGGTCAAGATTGATGATGAAGATCAAGTGTTGCTACTATTGTGCTATTTACCTAAGTCTCGTGCTCACTTCAAAGAAACTCTCATGTATGGAAGAGAGTCGTTGACCTTTGAAGATGTTCAATCTGCCTTATACTCTAAGGATTTAAATGAACGAAAGGAGCACAAACCCTCTTCTACTGGTGAAGGTTTGTTCGTTAGGGAGAAATTCTTGAAGAAAAACGGTAGGTTTGAGAAGAAGAAGGGTAAAGTTATACAAAATTCTTATGGTGGTAATGCTCATACTATTAAGTGTTATCATTGTAAGAAGGATGGTCATACAAGAAAAGTATGTCCTGGTCAAATGAACAATAATGGTGGAAAGGATAATGGTAATGCAGTCATTGTGTAAGATGGTTATGAATCATCTAATGTCCTGGTGGTTTCAAGCAGTGACTTTAGAAAGGAGTAGAATATGGATTCAGGGTGTACTTGGCACATGACTCCAGACAAAGACGTGTTTAAAGAATTTGTGATCAAGATGGTGGATCAGGGCTTCTGAGAAACAACAAAGCTTGCAAAATTGCAGGTATTAGATCAGTGAGATTCAAGCTCCATAATGAGTCAATAAGGATATTGATTGATGTTAGATATGTACCTGATCTTAAGAGGAATTTAATTTCTCTTGATGAAAATTCTGAAATAAAGGATATGTTTTTAAAGGAGAGCAAAGTATCTTAAGGGTAATGAATAGGTCGAAGGAAGTCTTGAGAGGCGTAAAGAAACAAGGCTTGTATACCCTTGAGGCTGAGGTTGTAAATGGTTCAACAGATGTGGCTTCCATGAAATATGTGTCTACGACTGAGCTATGGCATAAAAGACTTGGCCATGTCAGTGAAAGAGGCTTGGTCTAATTATCGAAACAAAGTTTGTTGGGTGGTGATAAGGTCGAAAAATGGGAGTTTTATGAACCTTGTATATTTGGTAAATCCTGTAGAATGAAGTTTAACAAAGGTAAACCAAGAACACATGGATCCCTTGATTACATTCATGTTGATCTTTGGGTACCTACAAGGAATCCTTCACACTCAGGTGCAAAGTATTTTCTATCCATAATTGATTATTACTCCATAAAGTTATGGGTGTTCATCCAGAAGACTAAGGATGAAACTTTTGAAAATTTCAAAAGTTGGAAGACTCTAGTCAAAAATCAAACTGGCAAGAAGGTTAAGAG